CCCCGCCGCGCCCCGCTCGCCCCGGGCCCCGCCGCCCTCCTCGAGCCTCCCGAGCGCCCCTACCGCGACCGCGAGCCGCACGACTACAGCCCCGAGCGCTTGCGGGAAGCGCGCCGCGACGAGCTGGAGCGCGCCCGGGCCGCGCACCTGGACGGCGCGGCGCTGCTTCCCGCGCTGGGCGCCCTGCGCTTCCCGCGCCTCGCGCCCACCGCCGCCGCACTGCACAACGGGCTCCTGGCGCGGACCCCACCGGCCGCCGCCGCCGCCGCCTCGCTCGGCGCGCCGCCCCCGCTGGTGGCCGCCGCCGGGCCCCCCACACCCCCGGGGCCGCCGCGGAGCAGGACTACGCCGCTTGGGGCCCGCGCGCCCGGCGAGGCCCGCGACTACTCCCCGTCGCGCAACCCCCAGGAGGTGGAGGCGCGGTAGTGGCCGCGGGGCCGCGCCCGACCCGCGTGCGGAGGCCCCTCCACGAACGAACGCACTGCTGTCGACTAACCTAAACGTCTGTTTCTAGAAGCTAAGCACAGTTCCATCGGCCCTGGGGTGATGCTCGCTCTTCCACGCGCAGCTGCGGAGTCGGGGGTGTCATACACAGCTTTTCTGGGGGTGATCTTTTGTTTTCCGGGCTTGAGATGAGGCTACTGGAAAAAAATTCAAGTTTGTACCTTTTTTCCCACAGGTGAGAAGCGTTTTTAATAGATTTGTATTTTTTTCAACTTTGTGCTCTTTAGACATTTAAATGAAACAAAAAAGATTTTTGCTTTTTAACTTTTAGTTTGCTTTTGCGATTTAATGGCCTCAGAGCCCCAGGGGTTTTTTTTGTCTTATTTATGGAGAAGAAAACGGTCATTTTGTCCAGCGCACTGTGAGGTCCCCACTCAGGCCCGGCCCTGGCCCTCCCTTGGTACTTGGAACCGAAGTTACAGATATATATTAAGATAATTAATAACGTACAAAACTTTATTTGCCTTATTATGCAGAAGCGTAGAAGGGTTTCTTTTTCGGTTTGTTTTTTTAAAAAAAAAACACAAACAGTGTAAATAGTCTGTTAATATAAATATATGTTATTAAATTCTTAACTTAGGTAGACTTTATAAAAACGGTTTCTAGAAACTCCTCTGGTTATCTGTTTAACGTGGTCACAAAAACCCACCCGCTGTCAGTTGGAAATGCCCTCAGACGTTTAACTGCAGCACCATCCTTCAACTATGCAAGCGCTCAGGGCGGCTGGGCCGCCGGGGGGACCACGGAGCGGCCCTGGGACGTGTGTGCACCTTGTGCTGACTGTGCAGTGTCCTCGGGATCCACCCCAGACAAGTAGGGTTTGGGAGGTGAAAAGGCTAAAGGCACAAAAGAAATAACTTCTCACGGAGGACATCAGCAGACGTTTGTCTCATGTTTTCCCACCGGCCAAGGCCTTGGCGTGATTTCCTTTTGGTTTCAGTCTTACTTTCATAACCCCATGAATGTCACCATGCCGTGTCGTCAGCGTACCTTGTTTCCTGGCATCCACACCTGTGTCCTCGGCGTTTGAGCCTTGGTTCTGTAGCTGTTTGCTTTATTCGGTTCTGTATCTTCAACCCTGTTTCCACTGTAGACTCCGGTTATTTTAAACATTTTGTTTTCACATCAACCAATGAAGGTAAATACAGCCTTGATTTTGGATGGACAGGTGGTTGAGTGTTTTGTGGGGCTTTGTGACAGCTGGGGGTCGCGCACCCACCCTCAGTTCCTTCCCGCACCCTGGCTGCTACCACCACCAGGGCTGCCCAGTGGAGCGCCGTCCCCGAAGTCGCCGACCTCACCTCGCCCTGCTCCCCCAGGCCGTTCAGGCTCTTCCCTCTGCCCTTTGCCTGGCACCTCCAGCTTGGCCTTCAACTCTGCTTTGGTCACGTGGTCCCCACCCTGTCATCTGCCACATCACCCCTGTATGGAACTTGTCCGCTGGGTTGGTCTCCTCTGTGCACTGGCTGTCGGGGTGCACATCCTGGGCGGGGCGGGCCTTGCCCCCCGCTGCCCCAGCAGAGCAGGTGGCGGCTGTTGGAGAGGGGAGAGCTCAGGAGGGAGGGGAGCAGGGGCACAGCTGGCTGCCTCCACCCGCTGGAGAAGGGCGAGGGGGCGCCTGCCCTGTGGTGGGGACTCTGCAGCTACTTGAGCACTGGGCCCTTACTCCTGCCCTGGCTGTGGTTTAGAAGTGGGGCCCTGGCACTGTACCCCAAGTGGATTGGCCTCCTTGGGTGAGCAGCCAGGGCCTCTGAGCCCATGACGGTCCCCATGGAGGGTTGGGGGTGCCCTTCATCCCCAGGGACAAGCTCCTGGTCACCGTTGCGCCCTGGAGCACCAGCCAGGGGCTTCTCCAAAGGGGTTTGGTTCCCGGGGACCAGCGCCACCGGGCCGCAGTGCCTTCCTCTTGCACATCTTGGTTTTCCCTGGTCTCAGTTGTAGCCTACACAGCAGAGCTTCAGGGGCACCCCGTCACCGAGTTCTCCTGTGATGGACCGGGGAGGCTCATGGCCACGGCCACCCTGGGCTGCCCCCCACCCCGCTGCAGGGTCCCTGCGGAGCAGGCAGTGAGAAGCAGAGGCCCAGCCGGCCGGCACCCAGGGCTCTGGGACCCCACCCACAGGTGTAGTTGCAGGGTGGGTGCAATTCAGGGTCTGCCCTTGACCAAGATCACTCGGGAGTCCAGGGATATCATGTGAAGGAATAAAATATTTGAGTTAAAGCCAAAGGACACAGTCTGCACTGAACCATAGGGACCAGGGGAGTAGGCCTGTGCTGCTTGCCTTTTCCCAGACAAGGGCCCCTAGCAGCATGTCACCTGCAGGGTAGTGCTGGTATCTGCCCTGGGGCAGGCCATCCCTAAGGCACATCCTTTTCAAGGGATCGTATTCTCTAATGGAGTGTCATCCAGAAGGGCATGATTTTTGATGGAGCAAAATCAATAACGGAATTTGCCCACTGGGGGGCGCCCTCCGTGCTGGCACATCACCCAACAATGGCCGTAGTCTACGAAAGTGGCCCATAGGGACCGTTGTCTGTAAGGCAGCACCAACCTCCAGGGACCCACAGTCCACGCTGGAGTGCCACCCCTTAGGAAGCACCTGTGAAGTTAAATGATTGTCAAATTTTTTCAGTAAAAGGGTTAAAAGATAGAATTTAGTTTATAAAATCCCCTAGAAGGTAAAACAAAAAGACAGTGAGTTGAAAATGTGAGAAAAGGTGAACGACTTAGACGGCCTTTCCAGGATGTCCATCATCCAACGAATAGAATTGGGGGGGGAGGGGGCGGGGGGGAGAAAGCTGAGTGCAGTGGGACATTTTAAAGGAGCGATTTTAAAACATCCTGGCCAGGGCTTCCCTGGTGGCGCAGTGGTTGAGAGTCTGCTTGCCGATGCAGGGGACACGGGTTCGTGCCCCGGTCCGCGAGGACCCCACGTACTGCGGAGCAGCTGGGCCCGTGAGCCATGGCCGCTGGGCCTGCGCGTCCGGAGCCTGTGCTCCGCAACGGGAGAGGCCACAGCGGTGAGAAACCCGCGTACCACAAAAAAATAAAAAAATAAAAAATAAAATAAAATAAAATAAAATGGATATATAAATTAACGCTTTCTATTGAATAACAGCTAGAGTCAAGTTTAGCTAAAATCCTTGAATACACTTTAGCTGAATTCCTTGAATAAAACAGAAGACTTTGCCGAGATGTCAGTGGGTCCACCACACTCAAGGATTCAGACAGACATTCATTCCCTGCGTCTCTTCTTTGCAAGCCACTGGAAGAAATATTCCAGTAAAATAAGGGTTTAAACCAAGTGAAAGAGAAAGAGAGGGGCCCAGGAAGACGCCCTCCTGCCCCAGGAAGGAGGCGGGAAGCCTTGGGGGAGGCTGTGAGCACAAAGTTTGCTGCTGTTCTTGCAGACAGTTTCTCTATGTGAACTTTAGGGTTAGCTTGTCAAATTTCGTTAGTTTTTTCCTGTCACTTTTATATTGGGATAGCATTGAATCTATAGACAAGTTTGGGAGGAACTGACACTTTTACGATGTTGATCCTGATCCATCACAGGACTCTCACTAATGTATTCAAGTTTCCTTTTCTGTCTCTTGCTAAAGGTTTTAATTCTCTTCAGCTGTCGCGCAGCTTCTCGTGTGTACGCTTGCCGTAAAGCTGCGTGTCGCGCTGGTCATTACGACGGTGCAGAGTAGCTCCTGGTTCGCGTGTCTGCCGTGGGTCTCTCTCCCTTCCTGTGGCATCGGTGCTGCTTGCCGAGCACCCCGCAGCCTCCAAGTGCACAGGAGGGCCATACCACTGGCCTCCGTGTGTGGACAGAGCCGTGGGACTCGCCCTGGTCATCGTCACCCGTGGAAGGGCATAAGCTGCTTCTGAGCAGGGACGCTCGATCGCTGCTGTGGCGTCCCCCAGGGCCTCAGCAACCAGGACTGTTCCCAAGCGGGCTGCTCTGTGGGGCTCGTGGTGGGAAAGCACAGAGCAGAGCCCTGAGACGTGGGGCTGTTCATCGTGGCAACACAACCGGACCTCTCCTGACCGAGGTACTGACCAAACCTCCTACCAGTTCCAACGGCCTTTTCTGTTGGTTCTCTTACTTTCCAGGTAGACTGGGAGGTCGTCTTCAGGCAAGAACAGTCTGGCTGTCCTCTAGCATCTTCTCGCTGTCCCCTCGTGCTGTCCCCTCGTGCCACCCCAGGGCTGGCACTTACATGCTGTGCGTATATAGTGGGTAGTTTGATGTTCAGTCACCAGGTTTTCTTCGTTAGCTCACATTTTAAAATTTTTAAATCAGACACAGGTGTTCGATATCTGTTAGCTGGCCGTGTGGGTTTTCTCTTTGAGTCGGATAACGTCACACATGGCACAAACAGCTGTCCTGACGCTGAACC